GGTGAGAGAAGGAAGACAGGATAAAGACATGCTGTGGAAGAGAGACAGAGGTTAATAACAGATATGATTCAATGCAGAGAGGTCTGTTAATACATAGTGAGTGAGAAAGGTGACTGGAAAGGAAAATGATACGCTCATTCAGATTGATGGCAATATGTCGGCAATCTGTCTGCATCTATAATTTAGCAATCATTTGGAAACCTTCGCCAGTCATTCTGAGAATGATTGGAAGTATCTGTAACACAGAGACTTCCAATGTGGGATCAATAAAGTATCTATCTAGCTATGTAATGTTCCATATATGAATTGATAACCCTGTGTAAAAGCTAACCATCGCAGCTGAAAAACGTGAAAAGCACCAGTTTGTCTAATGGCCACTTAGAGGATGTTTCCAAAACTCAGCCTGTCTCCATAGTTTCTAAGGAAAATGCCCATATTAAGATAAAACCATAAATGTATACAACATAAAGTAGTAGCTTTAGCATCATCACTATTTCTCGTGAGTAAACTCAACCTGCGTTTGTGGTCTTGATGCCTTTTGGAGCATCATAACACGGTTATATGCTCTGTGGTGCAGATGGGCCAAGAAGTCTGTTCTCCAGTTTTGGTGAGTGAAGCTTTAGTATGTCATTTGTATGTTACTTAGCACTAATTAGCAGTCTGTGTCATCCACCCATATATCATTTAATGCACCATGCTAACCTTGCTTGTTAGCATTAGCTGATCATGAAGTCCTCCAACATCTCATGCAGATACAGCAACATTTTCCTCTAAAAAAGTAAATAAATAAATAAAATATGATCGTAGCTTTGATGCTAAAGTCAAATATAGGTCACATTATGGTGGCTACTTCCATCTTTTATATACAGCTAATAAGTAACCACACGTAGGACCTGCTTATGCAAAAAATACAGATAAAAGATGCTGCCGTGAAATTAGGAATCATTACATTTATGAGTGAATGAGCTACCATGAGGAAATTAGAGCATGGAAATCCAAAGCACAGTTTAGATGACAACTTCAAGGTCCTGTGTGGGCAAAAAGATTAGGAAGTCTTCTCAGGGGACATAATATTTAGTTTGAAAGCAGACGCCACCACCTGGAGTAAGTCGCGCGTCTTTGTTAAAAGACTGGATGAAACATTTTTAATCGTGTGCGAGAGACGTTTGGTGACAGCAGAGATGCTCTGAGGCTGCAGGAGCGAAGAAGTGAAAGATGACAGCAAACTGGAAGAAACGTGGAAAAGGAGAAGATGAACTGAAGACCGTCTTCTGTCTTTCTCTGGGGAGGGCAGGAACCCTTGAGCTTTACTTCCCTTTTTTTTCTTCTATCACACACTGTTTTTACCTTCTTCGTTCCTTCCACCACCCCTTCCCTCTCTCACCCCTGCCGTCTCTCCCTCCTCCCTCGCTCTCTGAGACATCTTCAAAGTGAAGCCCTTTGGCCAATCAGCCAGCTGCAAAGATCTGCACCACTGCTTTCCTTTTCTCTCTCTGCTTGCGTGCGTGTGTAATCTTTCAAGTGTTCGAGCGCGTGTGTCCGAGTTGAACATTTTGCGTTGACCCCACATAGAGCAACACACACACACACACACACACACACTCCCACACTAACAGCGATCAAGCTTCAAGCAGAGTGGTTTTCAAGAACCCCTTACACTCGCCTTGGGGGACGGAAGCGCTGTGCACTCGTCGTTGTTGTGTGTGTGTCGAGTGCATCCACAAACTGGCAAGCCTCCCATTGTTCCAGCTGTATCTTCAATGTTTCAGACGTGCTGTGGTATTTCTGCTGTGCACGGGGGTCTTCTGCGAGGAGGTATATGGAAATGCAACGTCTCAACAGCACAGTCGCTGTTTAATAATTCAGCCTTTAAGTGATTTTAACCATTAAAATTAAGTGAGAAGTATATAAGTATACGGAAAAAAAAGTGGTATCTTTTTCCAAGAGTAAGGCCTCTATAAGAAACAATGTCCCCATTTCAGACATGACTTTTTCTTTTGTGAAAGTCTTCATTAGTAGAGTCTGGCTCTGATCCCAGAGTAAGATAGAGGAATGAGGTAAAATAACTTTAATGTCCACCTTTACTCCTAAACTCAATCATTCATCATTTATTAGAAGGTTTTAAGTTAAATCCGTGTCATCCAACATATCATTTGTCCTCTCATTGGCACAGAGTAACGAGCACGTGCTTCCTAATACAAACATCAGCGACGTAAAGGATTTTTAAGGCCAGGCTTTCTTTGGACTTGCATATAGATCACCAGTGGCAAGACTTAAACATGTCTTTTCATAATGTTTATGCAGCTGGAGTGCATGCATTATACAGTATGCTACTCGTGACAGCATGGGTAGTGCAGACTTCTGAGGGAAAACTGTCAGAACATTTTAGATTTTACGAGAAATGGCTCCAAGGTCTCACGACTGTAGTTATTCCCGGGCAGGTTTTTTTTTTTTCCTTTTCTGCACACGATCAAATTAATTTGTACGTCACTTTTCTTGTTTTACAACCCAATCAGCACTGCACTTTAAGACACAAATTCACCACAAATTATGCTAATATTTGAATGAATCCTTATTTATTTATTTTTTCTATGATGATCCCAATTCTTCCATGTGTTGGTTTCCAGGCGTAGAATCACACAGGCTTAGATCTGGTTACCAACTATCTGGGTATAACTGGTCCCAAAGGACACATCTGTATTTCCTGACCGGTTGCCGTGGTTGCTATGAAATTGATTGCTAAAGCCCTGTTCACATAGGAATAGAGCCCGGTCAGTAACCACCAGGTGCTGCTCATCGAGTGGTGGCTAAACTGTGAAAAGCACGATGAAAACTGGAAGCAGAGCCTTCAAAATAAAAGTTTTGCCTTTTGGAACATATTGGTAGCAGCAATAAGGCACAGCTTTTACTTTGAGGGTTTGCTTTGCAGTTTTTCCAAGTTTCATTACAGCTCAGTGGGGTACAGGCAGCTGGTCAGGGAATAAACGTTTCTCTATTGAAACCAATTGTTGCAGATGGTCGCTAAACGCACTCTAGGCTAGTAAATGCATCTCTGGGACATATACTTACCTTCTTATTGGCAATTAACCGAAAAGTAATTTGTATTATTTGTGAGATTATTGTATTCAAATTGTTAGAGTAGGCACCAAACACGGTCCAGTTCAGCAACTTGGATTTGAAGCTGCACAGAAAGGTAACGCTCTTCTTGGCACCCACCTTTCGTTGAAAGTGGACACACGCCTCAGAAGAACTTAAGGCTGTGTAAAATCTTACAATTGTCACAGTTGTCATGAAAAAGGGGAAATTGACTGTAGAGCCCAAAAGCTTTCTTACTTTTATTTTTTGCACCTGGCTTAAAAACTGCTTTTTAATGCTGCAAAGCAGTTTAACATGGGAGTCTGTGGGGATTAACTCAGCAGGGACCCTCATAATTCAGCAGACCATCTGCACATATTTTAAAAGTATCCAGAACAGAGTGAGGAGCGGTGAGGGGGCGGGCAGACTGTCAGGTTAAGCGCTCCTGTGTGAGGTTTCCATCGAGGCCTAGCGTGGACCTTGACCTGCTGAACCTACTCGTAGATTTTAAGACTCGATGAACGCTCGAAATCTGAAACTAGATCCTGGTCCAAGACCCAGACACACATTTTTCTTTATCTCATCCCTGACGGAGAGTTTTTCTCACAGATTAGCTGCCACTCTGAACTGTATTTAAAGACTTACCTGACTGAGGTGCAGGTGAGAATTCCCACATCGTGCGCAGTCTAATAAGACATTAGCCGCTCTTTAACCTGCCAGCTCCTTATTACAAAGTCAGTGTGATGCCAGATTGGTCCGATTTGCAAATCGTGCTGTGTGTGATGCATCATTCATGCTCCAACTGCTTCAGAAAAACACCGTCTCCATTTCGACACAGTTTCTGAAGCAGACTACGTTCTGCTCCATGTGAGACAGATCCTGATCTGCAGCTCCAAAAGGTTTCACATGTAAAAAATGGCTTTTCACTCCTTCCTTCCACTCAGACGCATAGCATGCAAAAGCAGAAATTACTTGTTAGTAAACTAATTTTAAACATAACCCGAAAGAGCCTCAAGCGTTTTCCTTTTTTCTAACGAAACGGCCCAAAGCCAACCTGAAAACTTCATTGGGTTGCAGAATATAAAGCCATTAAGGTGTCAACACTGAAGGCACACTTGAAATTGTAGCTATAAATCTTTATAGTTGAGGGCTTTGTTAGCCTTGCAGCAGCGGCTCCATTTTACAAATTTATAGCGGGTGCCGAGCTCTGGTTTTGAGCTACCATCTGCTTGAGCTACAGTGCTGCCGTTTCCTGCTTGTTGATTTCAGCATATCAGAGAACCCGCAGACTGTGACTTTAAAGCAGTATTTATCATCTGAGGGCTGAACTATATTTTCTCCCCGCAAGCTCACATCTACTGTCTTTCCTCAGGGACCCGAATGCCGAATTATCGTATATGTAGGTTTAAAAGCAAGCCTGTGTTTGAACGAGCCCTTTTGATCTCAGCGGAGTTTCTCTGATGTTTGTTGTCTGTGTCGAATGTTTCTTGAATAAAGCTCATTTGAACCGATGTGCTGGCGTTTGCAGGCCCATCCTTCTCCATCGCCATCAAGTCGGACGATAGCAGCGTTTATCCGTGGGAAACGGCAAAGATGGAGTGCTCGCTCAGCGTCTCCGGATCCTCGCCAAAGACTGGTACAGTGCGCACACACACAGCATATATTGAGGTGCTGTATGTGAGGTTTTCTCATGTGCACTCATAAATCACGATCTGCAACTGTTGCAAGCTCTTTTGATCTTTTTCCACGCGTGCATCAAGACACTGCTGCAGCTCCCACATGTGCAAATTCATACAAACATTTCCTTTGCCTTCTTCACCTGTCAGCGTGTCAGCAGCAGCCTTAATAAGAATGATGTGACGATTAAGAGTTCTGCATTTTTTCTCTTTCCTTTGTGGTTTTATATTCGGGGCTTGGTTACTTGGTGCACTGTGCTAACATTTCTATCCAGGCTGCTTTCACTCATATTGACTTTGAGGTCTGTACTGTTAGGTTTCAGTTTCTTCTGATATGAGAAACCACAGGTTAAAAAGGGGGAAACAGTAAACAATATTGTGTCACATCAGAATGCCAGAATGAAGGGTTTGCTTTCAGTTAGGTGGTCTAACCAGTGCTGTGACTCAAAGCAGCAACCTTGCCGAGTTTGTTGAATTTGCAAAGAGTTGAACAGCCCAGCCTTCCTACCACCAGCATCAGGTCAAAATCTGTAATCCTGCGAC